GAAAAATGAAAGGAGATCGGCAGAAGAAATTGGCAATACAGCTAAGATTAGAGCTGACTTGAAAGCTCCATTTTCATAGATACACGGTGACCACAGAACTTGAGGTGTGCATCGTTACCTACAAATTTCAAAACGAGATTCTTGTAGATAAACATTCACAGACCTTGCGGTCACTTCATGCAGCTTAAAGACTGAAATGACCCTAATTAACTCGTACTTCTAGGCGGAAGTGGACTAGCTAGTGTACTCACAAGCACTTCCTAGTCGTAGGAGAAACACAAGCGACTATGTTAAGGCCACTAATGAAAGTGAATAATATTCCGCTTAGCTGTGAGCTTCACTGCGGAAATGAAAGAAAACAATAGTCAATGCAATGTATCAATGGCAGTTTCAACGGCATATTGCACCTTTGTGATAGCCATGGCTAAGTTGTGCAAATCGGTTTCATTGCGAAACAAGTGATAATATAAGGCTGGATCGAGGATACTTGAAAAAGATGTGAACCGTGATGTTTGCGAGGATGGGGAAAAGACCAAATGTTTGTAATATGGATTCTGCGAATTTATATCTATGAAGGAGCGTTCAATGTGTTGAAGGCGAAAGTTGATAGATTCCAGGCGTTGAGGAGTTACGTCAGTTGCAGCATTCGTAATGTCCTAAAAAGAAAAGCTTCAAGAGGAGCTAAATTAAACATGAAAAAACATGAATTTGTCGATTTATTTGTAACCAACAAGCTCAAAAGTACTACTTGATAACCCGGAGGAGATGGTTTCCCCCTCGTTTTCACAATGACCGCATTTTATGCATGCGTCTCAACAACACACCTCCGCCTCCATTTGGATCCTTCTTGCTGTATTGTAGAATCTCCGCAGTGCTTCTTTCAGACTACTCAGCTTATGTGGCAGCCATGGAGCTTCCTTCACAATATCCAGCTTCGCGACTTGTACTTCAACTTTGTGGAAAAGAACAAGAAGAGACTGCGCATAATCAAGAACATTGAATGGAATTACCTAGAAGTTCATAAGCTGAGTAACATTTGTGACTATGAAGAACACCCCCACCAAACTGCTGGCAAGCCGATGAGCAATCTCCAACCATAGTCGTCCGATAGAAGCCATTGACAAAAATTTTGGATCGATAAGATT